CATCATCATCATCATCATCATCATCATCATCATCATCATCATCATCATCATCATCAGAGAACATAAACAGACCAGTAACTGCACACCCCCACATCGTCCATCTTGCCTCTCACAAAACAACACCAAGGTCGCAACAACCCAACACCCCATAATGGCATTGGGGAATAATAAATAATGACGACCAAGGGCAACCAAAAAATCTTTGTAATTATAGTTGCTTTAACGCCCCCCCCCCCTCTCCCAAAACAAAAAAAGAAAAGAAAAGAAAAGAATAAATAATCGACACAATTTAGATAATTTAGGAGGCGTGCTTCGACCCTGTCTGGAAGGACCAATCCAGGCTGAGAGGGAAACAACGTCCCGATAGAAATACACTGACTTGGATACTCGAAAAAAAAAATCTCCCCACACGAGAATCGAACTCAGGTCTTCTAGCTGCGTGCGACGGTTACACACCTAATCGCTACACCCCAGGCACCGATCCACGGCACCAGACAAGAACCATTGATTAAGGATAGCACGATGTGGTCAACACGTTTGTAAGTTGTGCAAGATTCTGGTACATGTTAATCTATATTGTATGCATAGGCTGTTGTGAGTAGATGGCCTACACCAAAAAGAACATACATGATGATAACATCACCCTTGGCATGGATCCTGATGTAGATACTAATATAATATATTCAGATTTGTGCGCCTATACACGATAGTAATTGACTACACACAGTAAGCCCGCTGAAAGTGAAAGTTAACATCCAGTAATAACTGAGGTGACCCCTCCCCACCTTCCCTCCCCTCACCCAAATCACTCACACAAACTCAAATTGACACCGTTTACATTCATATCACATGACAGGGGTTGTAAGCTGGTGTGTGTGAACTTCAGAGACAGACATGCAGACAGACAAACAGAGATAGATAGATAGATCTACAAATAGAGAGACAGATGGATAGAGAGATAGTAAGATAGATAGGTAGGTGGAGAGAGAGAGAGGGAGAGAGAGAGAGAGA